AATTGTTTACAAACGGCGTCGACGATGACAAAAATGAATTTGTAAGTCAGCATATGTTCTTTGAACTTTGACTGGCGGTCATATTAACGTGGAGCTATCATTTCAATCTACTGCATAGTCTGCAATAAACAACTCGAAAATGTGTTGGATGATCGGGTGTTTTATTATCAGGGTTGACTAACAGTCCCAGTAATACCAGGGTTCTACTGAAGACTCACTCAGATGATGTGCGGCTGTTATCTTCTTTAATGGTCGAATGGATACCAAGGAGTAAAATATCGGAACATGTTTTACAGTGAAGTTAGATTTTTTGGCAGGCTTTTGAATCTTCTTCTACCGATAACTTGATCATGGGTCCGAGATTATCTTGTTTTCGTGTATCACGGTGTTGATGTACCTTCGTGATAATGCGCCTGGTACGATGTTATTGTCCTTTGATAGACTGAACGTTGATTGTAAACTGCGAGATGTAATGCAACTGTGGCGCTCCACGTGGTAACTCTAGATCAGATTATGTAGTAAATTAATAAAAGATGGGCTTGTGATCAGTCATTATAATAAAATAACTTTTCTGTAATGGGAAATTGAAATGTGTTACCTCTAGGTAGATGGCTAGTAATTCAAGCCCGAAGGTTCAATAGCGTTTTTGGGCTGGTGACATACTTACAGAGAAGAACGCTGGGTACATAGCGGCGTCACCGACTCGTCGTTGTGTTACTGTCCCTACGGCGCTATATAAAGAATTGGTGCACGAAAGATGGTGACTTTAAGGTTCGAGGTTTAGACGTTTCAAGATAGAAGCATTTACCGCCATGGACTTAGCGTCTTTAAAACCTGTCTTTGCATCGTGTAGTAAGCTAAAATCTTTGGTATCCCCTGTCCTTGTTTTTATTTGGTTAAGCCTCAGATCATCAGACAGTTGCACAACTAGGCAAGGAACGGTAAAAACTACACATCCTGAGAAATTGTGGTGGAGGTTTCGTTGGGTTGGATTCTGAGTGGTTAATAACAGCGTCTATCGCTTAAGCGATAGAAGAAAGCAGGCTGGTGGACGGGTAGTTATGTAATTGGGTCGTTCAACAGAATAGTTGGAGCGCCAGGTTCTCTTTTTTAAACACACAAAGTTTGCAGTATTTAATATACACTAGGAAATATGATACCTATAAAAATGAGGAAGTAAATGCATACTTGAATTATATCGTCTTGATATTACTTAGATGTTTTCGGCCAACTGTCAACCGGTCAACCGAAATTGGTATACCAGCATCTTCCCATAATCGATTTCCATAGAAATATCGATTCGATCAGCTTACTAAGTAAGAAAATATCAGTTCAGTTTCTGCGGCACATTGAAGAATTACCAATTCGTTCAATGTTTGAACTTCAGTTGACGACGATCAACGCTAATTCAATATCCGGAAGTGTTCCATAGATGTCATATACGTCACTGCCTTGCTGTCTTATCTTGTATCATTTATCTTATTTCCACAAACCATCGCTCATGACTTACTGAAAGTGTCCTCTGTATGAGGTCAGAGCTTGTAAGAGTATGAAAAGTAGGAGAACGAAATAAGAATATCTGAGTTGACGCAAGCGGGACACTCAACATCATGCTGATGAGGTACGATATTTTCATAATCTATCTGGCTTATTAATATTTACTCATTTCCCTGCTGAGTCGCCCTGAAGTCAAAAATAGAGAATCAACTTCGGAGAACAAAGTAAATGGGCCATTCAAACGTTAAGATTTAGTACACTATTTGCATAAAGTAATCACATACAAAAGGAAATGTATAAATATAAGTGTTCGGTTCGACACAAATGTTTGGTTTCTAAAACGTTTTGGGGATCCAGGAGGAAATAGAAACAGTGTGAACATCCTGTGCACGAAAGTGAAGTGTAAAAGAATGTTAGTTTTTCAAAAACAACACCTGTGTGAACCTCCTATAAATTGGATTCACCAATTTCAATCAAATATATGACTTCGAGTCCGTGACAACCACCTCTTTATATTCTGGTTCGTATCCGCGGATATAGAAAGTGTCATAAGTATCGCTGATAATAATGGACTCTTTAATCTATGCCTCATAAATCTTCTGAATGAATCCGTTCGTTATTCAAAATTTTATCAAATCACATAAATATTTGGATATCCCGCAATACAATGATTTGAATTAACGTGCTGCTCGATTACATGAGCTACCTGTTCCTGCCATCTAGATATTCTAACAAGGTACCTGTTTTTGTTTCAACGCGTCAGGATGCGTAACCTATTCAGGTGTGCCTATGGAGAGTTCAAGACCTTTGGCTGTACAAGTTACAAAGAAGTACAACCGGAGACATCGTGGTTGCTGAAAATATGGAGTGAAAAGGGTGAAAATTATTCACATGTCCATTCCTGAACCGTTAGCATCTAACTGGCTATCACTCGATATTTACCGTCAAGATCGATCGAAAAATAAGAAAAGGAAACTTCCTGAAACACTTTTATCAGAAAATTCTATATTGTACCGAATATATAATGTTAAATAAAATTAATAATAGTAAAGTTTTCAACAACAAGTACATGACAGGTAATACAATCTTTAGGAAAAATAAGGAAGCGGATAAATACTTGGGTTACATTGTTTTGACATCACTGTAATATTTGCGAACAACTCCCAACCATCATCCTAAGTTACTACAATACTGTGCGAATCTATGTGTCCCAGAAAGTCAAAAACTGGAGCATCGAGTACATACTTTGGATAATTAACCAAATCAGTATGACTTTCAAGGCAGTCGAACAGAATAAGTAGATGGTGTACATGTTTGTCTGTGAAAGATCTGGCGACCAGAAAATCGTCGATTTGCGTAAATAAGAAATCTATACATCTTACGACCTCATCTGTAAACCACTGAAACGTTTAGGCAGCATATTTTGGTCATAATGGTACCCTCAACAATTTGAACAGGCCGAAGGGGGTGACGTTGGCAGTCTTTCTGATGCTACTAGAATTTGATGTCGAGCTCAGCCTCAGCCCAGCCTAAAATAATGTTTTCAATGTGAAATCAAAATGGTCTAGCATCTATGGAGCCTGTAACCTGCCTGAACTCGCATCACATTAGATTCAGATATATGAGGTAATTTAAAGGTGGGTTTGGTAGAAGTACACCCATTGTCATGTTGATCATTAGAAACATACACTATACGAAAAAGCCTACATATGTGAAATGGTAATCATTATAACAAGAAAAATTAATTTTTTTGGACTACCATAAAATGGAGACGGAACAAGTGTGTCAGTTACAAAATAGTAATAAAGTTATTTCGAAAATGGTAGCGCACTATTTAAAAAGGATAGTGGTATTATTCCCCGTTGAGTCGAATTTACTGTTTCGATCGTATATCATACATCAAAATTACTGTTTACACTTAAATTGAATTTATTTCAGTTAAAGTGATATTATACTTGTGTTTATTGACCTTGCCTTTGTGTATTAACTGCATCAAAGCATATGTGATCGAATTTGACTTTCTTTATTCGGATAAAGTCTGAAATTTTTTACATTTCCATTTTCGTGTTACCATTTTTAGTTTATTTTTAAGATGATAGTCTCTGCTCTGGACAGGCATTTTACTTATTACCTGTGGAATAAGGAATTCAATGTGATGGGTGGGATAAGTGGTTCCATAAGTTGTGTACCCACTTAAATCCCATTATCTATAAAAGGTACTCGAAGCCCAACTCCCATTGACATTGTATGTTTCATTGTCCAAGCAAAACAATATTTATCCAAGAGGCAATTAGCCTTCTGGCGTTGATTAACAAAAGATTGATGAGAGCTCTACCGGTACTGATAGAGAAGAATGCGTCAGTGTCATACGTGCTGTTACGGCACGTATTAGACACCTGATTGTGCAACACTCAGTATAGATTACCATCCTGAAGCAATTAATGAGCTACGCACTATTAGATACAGGTGGCCAAGTTGCTACATCAGCGATTGATGACCCAAACAAAACCATTGTTTTCCCGACTGGTTCTAATGTGGAAGCTGCAACTGATGGGAAATTGATGACGCGGAGACATAAAAGAGAAGGAACGATAGCCCAAATAGTGCCTGTTTAGTTGAAAAGTCCTTGGTGGACTCATATGCTGTGTTGCAGTGTACTCCGCCAAAGTCCAGAAGTAAGACAATATTGAGTCCTGTCGTAGATGAGAATAGTTTGGTCTCATCAGAGATTTTCGTGAGTCATTCGCTTTACCTCAAGGCTCCGTTACAAGAAAAATTAATGGTAAGCTCCCAGCAGTTAAGAGGCAATATCTGACATCACGATCGAAAGCTGAGGACTCAACATTCAAAGAAGTTAAACCCGTTCTTAGTTTAATCATTTGGAATCTGGAGAAGTAAAAAGACAATGAGCCTGCTAAAAGGTGTGCACACGATCTGGAGTTAGTGGAACCTGGCATAAGAAATGTGCTGCCTGAAGGTGTTTCAGAGATACATATCATGACGTTAATTTTAGGAAAAGTGTGTTCATGCACGGTGTACACAGTAATAGTTATCATTATACTACTGATAGTACATCTCTCCGAGGAACATAAAGACCTGGGAGTAATAATTGGTCATGGCTTGAAAAAAACTACGTATTGCAACGCAGCTGTTGCCAAAGGTCACCGTGAGTTATGGTCGCTTCACTGAGCATTCAAATGGTTCCACGTGATGTTTCGACAACGAGAAGCATGTTCACAGCCGTGTGTCTACGAGCGAAAATTGATGAGTCACATCATGAGAGAGCGAATCAGACACAGAAGGTCAAAGTCAAAAATTTTAACCAGCAATTCTACGCCAATAACGGTAAATGTACAAATTATGCAAAATCATAAAAAATTTGAATTATAACAGAAAACAATTACAAAATAAGTTCTTGTTAACTGTCTTCATACTGGTTCACTTTCTATTCTTTCTATTATTTACTGAAGACTTGAATATTTTGATGAAGCAGTTGATACGACAGTGACCTTGACGGCTATTTACATTTCGAAGCTGAATTGCGCTTCTCACATCAACACTAAGATTGTTTGCAGAAGTAAAGTGTGTGGACAAGCCAACCAGGTCTTGGCGCGATATCATTCTCTGAATTGAAGTGGATGCCATTTTTTGAACAGAAACAATAATTTGTGTACATTCTTGATCGCCTTATTTTGGAGATTAATCTCCGCTTTGGAATAAATTTTGGAAAAACTCCATAGAAATTTCGGGCACTTGGCACAAAAAAACCCGAAACTTCCCTGTGTTCGGAAAAATCCCCGAATTTTCGGGGAAATCTAGGGTTTTCCCCATTTTATCCAGAATCTTATAACACTTTGGATTTGCTTTCCCAAATTTCTTCAGACATTGGGAGAGACCAATAAATTTCTTACGGCTCTTGGGGAAACCCAAGAATTTACCCAGAAATCTCGAATGTTTTCCAAAATATGGAGATTGGGTTAATACTTTGTTCATGTAGAAATTCTCTATCAGTTGTAATTGTATAACTTTTTCATAGTAAATAGTTCCATAACCATACAATGTTTTTTGAAAAACATATATAGAATCTCGCTCTCAATGCATGTGCGCCTACATGCTATTGATGTGTTCACTTATCCACAACTAACCTGATAGCATCAGGGCTAGTAAACTAGTCAGTTAGTAGACGTCTTTCTCTCATCTGGTTAAAAGTCGTGGAAAACAATCAAAGTTTTCTAGTTGCTTATCATTTTAGGCCAAAAAGTCTCTCGAAATCTGTCTCAAGTGGGTACTAAAACTCATGAGTAATACTACCTGGCTACATAACATTTTTGGCGAGACTATAATTTATGGACGAACCAATAAGGTATAAGATAATAGGCTTCAGATATTGGCGCGAAATTCACTCATCCAATTTGGTTAAATAGTTTCGGCATTATAGCTGATGTCAGTTCGTGATGAAAACCCGAAATCTAATTCCTGACGTTAATTATCAACTGTAAAACAATCCTAATTCCTCACACAGGTTTAGAACCCTCATGTGGTCATATATATTAGGTGGACACTCTCAAGGTCAGTCTAGCTTAGCTCAAAGGTCGTCCATAAATTATAGTCTCACCCTTGTTGCTCTATGGACATCTCTTAAACTAGAAATTAAACTGGGAATGTTTTGAAGTTCAAATAAGATCCGCGTTTTTAGTTCCCAATTACTTAGACATATGTACTCACCTGTCACATGAGTTTTCCTAATGTAGGCTTTTAAAATGTGCACTTGGATGATGTCTGTTAACAAGTTTATCGAGATTACTTCATATTCTGTCGACCATATAAGTCTATTCGTATACAAGTTACTTCAGTCGGCTGAATACCGGTTATTTTCTCTGCGTATCAGTACTGAAGGATACAATCTTAATTCATCGTGATTAGACAAAACAGTTTAAAACCAGAATGTCAATTATCTTATATCTGTTTGTCAAAAAAATTTTCCGTAGTGATCAATCCCTGTTTCGACCCCAGAGCGCTGCGATTATAACCATTAAATGGTTTTTATTATGAGATCTTGAGTTTATTTGGGTGTTGGAAAATTAGACACAATACTTCCAAAAGTTTTGTCAAAGAAAACATGCATAGCACGTCATTTCTTGAAAAAAATTTCTTTTTATTGTTAAAAGTGTCCTAAACATATCTTACAAACATTTAATCAATATTCATACATAACTGATACTGTATCACTACCTTTCTCCTGAATTAGATGGAGAGACTATAATTTACGGAAAAACCAATCGAATTTCAGTTAATAGGTTTTGAATTTCGGCACGAAATAAATATAAACTGTTACGTTCGTTATTCTGTTCCGTTGGATTAATGCTACCATGATATTTAGATCAAATGTACATGAAGGAGGCTTTAGATCTCTACTCTAGTGACCAGAAGTGGAGTGCTCGAACCACCAAGACATAAACCGTTGGACTTGTATTATTCATCATATTTATTCCCGTATAAGTTTCTTGTCCTTCTAGGATAAAAAGCGGCACTGCTCCGTCGTTGATATAGCAGTTATATGTCTGTTAACGAATGCTAGTCAAAGGTGATACATATATTTAAATATCTACGATCGAGCTACTACATACTTAATAACGTCCTACTTTCATTTTTATGTATGCTAGGAGTTTTGACTTTAACATCGTCACGAATGCGATTATCGCGTAGCAATTACTTCCTACGTCAAAAATGCATCATTTTTCGTCAAAAGTGTAAATTGACGGAGAACAGTCCCATTCGTGTACGTTTCGCTCCAAGTCCTACAGGTTTTATGCATTTAGGCGGTTTACGTACTGCCTTATTTAACAAGTTGTTTGCTGTGAAACACTCGGGGAAATTCATACTACGTATTGAAGATACGGATAAGGTAAAGTAATTATTCCTACATGCTTATTCAGTAGTCCAGAGTTCAACCATATGCTAAGGACGATATTATCGAGTCGCTTCACTGGTCTGGACTAACTCCTGACGAAAGTCCAACCACTGGTGGAAATTATGGTTCGTACATTCAAGTATGTTCGTTAGAATTTTGTAAAATGTCCTTATCATAAATGGTCACTATTTGGAGAAGTTTAGTCTGAAGTTCATTCTTGTGTTGTTGCTCAACAAGTACGGTACATATGTGTATTTCGATCACTTTACATGTCAGGTAATGATAGTACTTACCCACTTGAATCAATCGGATCATGTTTTACTTTCTCAATCGTGTTGAAACAATTTTGATAATATTTTGTACACTAATTATGCCATTGGTCAGTTTTCAAGACTCCTGAAGCATGTATCAATAGCCACAGAAACCAATTGCTTATCTGAACATTAGCTTTTTCACTTGTTTTTTTTTACTTTATTGATTTTTATGTAGGTAATTTTAATTGTTATTACTGATAAAATATCTTTATCTTATAATGTCATGTACTTCTGTTGTTGCTTTCATTACGGCTCAGATTAATTGATTTTTCCGACCCCTAGTAAAAGTGGCATTCAGTGCTCGAACTTGCCAATGAAGCAGTACTAATATTTTTTACAATAGCATCATGTATATGGAATATTGGAATATGAACATGGTTACCTAGTCTTAGTATGTGTAGCAAAAATATTTTATTTGTTCCAGTGGCTATAGTTTTCTCCTTTCTGGATTAAGAGCTGGTAGACCAAAATGTAACATAAGTTCATTCAGTCGTTGACTGTTGGTATAAATTATGTCGGTCGATGCTAACTTACTGGCTCTGGTCCACACAATACCTGTGATCATTGACATGGCACCAAATCGGTCACAATCGCTCAGTTGTATTTATTCATTAGTCATCTGTAAATCGATGTAGTTTCTCTTTATTCGTCGGGAAACACACTTTACTGTGATAGTTATTGTTTACTATGTGCTCATAGTTCTTATAATCATTATACCTGAATTTGGATTGAATAGCTACTTGTGGAGTTTTTTCAGTGAATGATTGAAGGTATCCGTTTACATACCGGGTGTACACATTTAATAACTTACTAGTTTGATAAGGTTTAGTGAAAATGAAGTGTATCAATTGCATATATCTTTATGCTATGATCTCCTATTACGACCCAGCTACTCTTATTACTTAGTATTCGGACACTACGTCACTCGACTAGTCGCAAAATCAGAACACGGTTGGACAGGAAGGTAATTATGCTCTAAATAAACAGGGTGAAAGGGGACTATGAGTCACAGTAAAAAACACGTTAATATGTTTATAATTTTATGCGAGAAGATTCTAGAGTCTTGTCCAATTATTCTCTTGCATCTATTGACCTAGAAAGGACCAGTCAGAATGCTTGAATGTAGTCCTTCACGGAACATGCTTTAATTCAATATACACCCCGTCAACACTATCTATTTACTGGAATAATTATAAATTGTAAAGGTTAGGTTTATAAATCTCTTTATTTAATCATAAAAATAATTTGTTATAACTCTTCATATATCTTCATTAGATAGTCATCGTCCTACGTTGTAGCCGACTGACTGGATAGTAATTCTCCTACAATTTGACTTATGATACCTTACTTTCAGCTCTTTATAATCATTCACACAAGTTAGGTATCGTATTAACTTTGTTATGGATTGAATTTAACAATCACCTGCAGTGTTCATCTAGGTTTACGTTTATTTGATAACTATTTCCAGTGTAAGCATATCTTTAACATCAAAAGCTTGTTGTATTGACATGAAATATATTATTTCCACATCATTTTCTGTTTTCTGTTGGTCTTTTAGTCGGAAAGAAGACCCCTGTATTCATCTATTGCTCAAAAGTTAATTGATGAAGGATTTGCTTATCGATGCTTCTGCTCTTCAGAACGACTAGCTATCTTACGCAAGGAACAAAGTCGTCGTAGGGAACCTCACCGTTATGATAATCGTTGCCGTAATTTATCTCAAAGGGAAATCGACGAAAACTTATCAGCTTCTCGGCCATACGTTATTCGGTTCAAGGTTTGTTATTGGTCTCATAATAATTTACAGTCGTTTTTAAGTTTGAAAAACCATTAAGTGTTGTATTTTCGGAAAACAACATACTAAACTGTGGTCACAAGAGGCTTTTACACCAACCGACTTTCGGGATATTCAAACTACTAGCCTGAACTGATCGTTTTCATCTCCGAACCCCAAAGTCCCGAGTTCTACGTTATTTTCAGTCATGGTTCCTTGAAACAGTAAAACAGCTTTTTCAGTCCTCCACAGTTTTCAGTGTTTGTTCGTCTAATTAAGTTTCCTGGTATTATAATCTTAAATGCTAAAAAACGTATGATTGATTAAAAATTCGTAATAAGTGTGAACAGTTACACACCATTGAAGAATCGTAATTTCATTAGTTGTCAACCATCAGTCTACGTCTGAAAATTATTTTACTTCCCATTTAAAATAATAAGAGTTTTGAGTAACGTCAGATCAACGAATCATAATTCAAGAGGACAAGTTCTTTTTTTAAATTGATGTGTAAGAATGTACAATACTAGTGGACGAACTCTTAGATATCCAAGGTTTTACAGTTTATACGATCACTACCATTTTAGTATCGTGTTATATCTCACAGCGTATTAAAAGACATATGTAAAAGTTATGTTTGAATTAGTCGGTATTAAAATTAAAAAGTGAATTTCACGTTCATGATGTCTCATATACCAAAAGAAAGCACCATAAATTAAAAGATCATCAAAGAAAAGGGGGCAAGAAGGAGTTGATTAGTTTTAATCAATAGACCTATGTCACATGCAAAAGTTCAAAATAAAATAGTAGAAATGTGTCTTATTTTCCGAAATTCGCATGTATAATCCAGTGGTAGTCATTCACTTGACTTCACGTAGTCAATATGGACAGATTACACGATTTACTCTCCGCGTATCTTGGATCCAAGATGATAGAGAGCACAGCATATGTCACTAGGGCGATATCCCATAATCATAGCTAATAAACCCTGTTGTTCAACATGACATTGAAGGCACCAGACACGTGATTTAGAGTACAGTTTCAGGAAACCAGGAATAACACTTCTTAAATTCAAACAGTAACACTGATGGTACATGGAGATAATGGTGGAACTATGATAAAAGGTTTGATATAGGGATGAAGAAGTGACGAAACTTTAGAAATTATGTTTCCTACTAATTGGGGTATTATAAGGATATCATTATTTTACTTTTTTTTACCCGTCTACATCATTCGATCATTATCTATTCCATAGTACATTTTGAGGTTTTTGATGCGTTATATATATATATATGGATTTGTTGATTCTTAACTGCATGAAGAACAGCAAATAAATGAATAAGATTTTTAGTACCTACTTCTTCATTCTTAATCAGCCCACAGATTTAAGAATATTAAATTCGTTGTAAACAAAATTAAAGAAATGGTAAAAGGAGTTAAGTGCAGTTTATAAGAGAAGATAAAGTAAATTACATGAACGATCAAACTAATTTGTAATTATCAGAAGCTAAAAATAAAAAAATATCGCTATAAATTAAAAGAAAATAGCGCTGTTTTTTAAAATTGTTAAACAAACATCATTTGAAGAAATTAAAGTAATACTATTCATGGAATAATTGAAATTAGTGAATTTTAGTGGAAGATGTTAACATTTAATGAATTAGGGGAGATAGGTTTATGCAAAAATTGAAGGTAGAAAAGGTCAAACTAAAAAAAAGATGAGAAGGTAACAGTTAAATATGAAAGAAATGAAAGAAAAACGCTGTTAAAATGTGTTTTTATATGCAGGCCTAACCTTATTTTGCCCACACTTAACGCTTCTTTTTATGCAAGTGAGATATATGTGCACAGCTTTCAGGAATCTTGGTTTTATGTTATGCATAGTATTGTATAAGCACAACGCTAGATGGTTATGTACGACTACATGTTTTGGAATAGAGGATTTTATATTTCAGCGTTGTCCTTCACTGAGTCACTTTGGGATTGTTCCTCAATGAATGACCTGTGTACATAGCTCTTCGAGGGCAGGTGGATGAGTAAATGCACATCAGTCAGTTAAGGTTACTTATCCCCTTACGCAGTTGTGTATCAGTGAGCGACTAGTATAGGATACTGGTAATGACTCTGCATCGAGCGTCCTAGCGACTTTGACCAGGTAACTACTTAAAGTTTACTCCGCAATATCACCTTTGACTTCTGGATTAGCGTATAATTTCTTCGGTACATTCATGATATCTGAATAACCCTTAGGATAATTAATACTTTCTTCAATGAACCGTTATTTATTATTATTTATTTGAACACATGAATATTGGTACAAGAGAGCGCCAATATATATGCGCCACACAAAACAATGAGAATTCGAAGAGAAATAGAAAAAAAAGAGAACAATAAACGACGAGATTGGTGTAAGGTAGTATGGTAGAAATGAGGGAACGGAGAGGTACAATTAGAAGAAATCTTTCAGTTAAGGAAGACAAACACTTTTTATGAAAAAAGTAAAAGAAGGTTAGAACATGATCACCACTGGCTTCTATTCTGAGCCATATCTGATAACGTCTCTAGCCACTGTGTAGCATCATCTCTCGGACCCCAACCAGGGAGTCGTGAAGGACCGACACAAGCCAGTCCTTTGCAGCTTTCTTTCATACCACGACACCATGTCATATACTGATCACCTCTCCGCTTTTTCCAACCAGTCCCAGAGTCGGCAAATAATGCACGACGTGGAATTCTGTGGGACGACATTCGTAGAACATGTCCAAGCCGCCGAAGTCGGTGTTTCAAGATGGTGATATCGATTGCATTATCATCTCTGTGCCCGAACACACGATGCCGAACCTCTGCATTACTGACATGGTGTTGCCACTGGATGTCAGCAATCCTTCGGAGACAGCGATGATCGAACACAGAGAGTCTTCTAACGTCCTCAACTCGGAGAGGCCAGGTTTCACAAGCATAGAGCAAGACTGCTCTCACCGACGCGTTGTAGATCCGACGTTTTACAGCCAGACTAACATCACGAAGGCGCCAAAGGTGGCCTAGATTGGCTTAAGCCGCTCTGGCTTTCACTATACGTGCATTGATCTCATCACTCACACCCCCACCAGCACTTATGCGAGTCAATCTTTCTCGGGTTTTGAACAACCTACGAAGTATGACGGAAGCCAATAGCTTGGACGCAATCGGAAGTAGACTTATCCCCCGATAGTTGTTACAGGAACGACGTGAACCCTTTTTAAAGACAGGGACAACTATCGACTCATTCCATGACGTTGGTACACTCTCTAGTTCCCAAACCTTTGTAAACAACGTCGTCAATTCCTTAGTCAAAAAGTCACCACCATCTTTAAAAAGAGCCGGAGGTAAGTCATCTGGGCCAGGTGATATGTAACGCTTCAAGAGTTGGGGTTCCTTGCGGACTTCCTCCTCGTTTGGTGGATCAGTCGTCACCGGTCATGGAGGGCAGAACAGTCTGACTGATGTTGCCGGAGCAGTAGGCCAGTTGAACTGCCCTTCGAAGAATTCTGCCCATCGTCCAAGACGTCGATGGATGTTAGTGATTGGCATCCCATCATCCTCGCAGATTGTTTCACTCACACCAGACTTCTTGCTGCCAGTGGCTCGGATGAGTTGGAAGAGCTTCCGGTAGTTACCAGATGCAGCTGCTGCTTCCAACTCATTAGCACGCTTCGACCACCAGGCTTCTCGGTCCTTACGCAAGCTTTGCCCAATTTTCTTACGTAACATCCTTCGTTTGTGATCAAACTCGCGGTGCACAGTTGCAGTAGACGGTCCCCGTTATCTGTCCCGCGACTAACTAGTCCCCATAGGCCACCTAAACGACTCTCTTCTGTGCCTAGACGCCCGACCTGAGCATTCAAGTCTCCGGCTAGTACTACAATATCTGTCGAACGCACTTTCTGGAGAAGAACAGATAACTGGTGGTAGAATTCATCCTTGATTGCATCCGGGCTGCAATCTGTCGGGGCATAGGCGGAGATGACGAAGAGACATCGTTTCTCACGCCGATTTCTTCTCACTTTGATGGAACTTTCTAATCTAACAGCACATAACCGACTGTTAATGGGGATCCAATCGATTAATGCTGCCTCAGCTCTATCGCTTAGTGCGACACCAACGCCAGCAAGACCAGACGAAGATGCCACAGGGTCCCCGGATAAGCTCACGTAAAACAAGCTTTTTGAAGTGACAGATAGAGAGCGAATTTGTAGTACTTCACCAGAGTCTTGAATACGGGTCTCGGATAGACAGCAGACATCGATTTGAAGACTTTCCAAAGACATAGCCAGCCCTATCTGTTGTCCGACCTGCATAAGTGTGCGAACGTTGAAGGCAGCCAGTTTGAATGGCGCACGTGATTTCAGAAAAACTGCTTCAGTACTCATATTCAGTGGTAACATACAATTTCAACCGGACAGTGACACGAGAACGTTTAGATACAGTCGAATTTTCAGCAAAGACGAACCGCTGTATAAGTATAAAAGAGGGTGAATAATGTGGTAAATAATGATAATAATAATAATAATAATAATAATAGTAATAATAATAGTAATAATAATAATAATGACAATAATAGTAATAATAATAGTTTGAATCAATTGATTGTTTTTCGAAGCGAGAAAAGTAATTTCCATAGACATAGAGAGTTCATCATTTGTGTGTGGGCTGTGATACTGCCCGGGTGCCCAAACCGAAGCAGGGGGCCACCCCCCGAGCCTTTGACCTAAAGGTCTAACCCACAAGGCAGTGGATCATGAGAAGATGCAATCCCATGGTAGCCGGTGACCAACGATTGGTTCTTACGCCATTTGTTCCCGCCGGATACTGGAGCCCATGTGCACCATTGGTTTGTGATCCGGTTAAAGCGCCGGACATTCGCTTTTCGTCCTCTCATTTTCGTAAACAACACCCCTGCCACGAGAAGGCAATGAGTAGGACTTCCCTGGCAGAGGCTGTATACGCGCGGCTGAGCGAGAGTATTTCGAGAGGGAGAGCGAACTCTCGGCCGTACCAGGGCATTCGGGGGCAATGAACCGTTAAGTTACTTGTTCGATCGCATCGTCGACAGAAGAAACTAAGTAATTTATTTTCTTTGCGGTAAAACTGTGGTTTCAACGTTATGTTGTCTGTAAGCCACTCCTATCAGGACTATTGACATTTATTATTAGAGAAACTGTCATTTTAAAATTTTTTCTTGAATTTGTTTATGCAAATTGAAATCATTCTCACCAGTGACAAAGTTAACAATTAGTAGTAATTGGCTTTTTTATTTCATATATGAATGTAACTTCAGATACAAGTATTCCATTTTTGTTACATATTTTTGGATATTATATGTAGAAAATGGGGTTAAGAAAGCCAATAGAGGATAACAGTTTTCTTGTTGATAATGAACATTATCTTCTACCAAGAGTTGACACGATTTTTGATATCGTATAAGAATAAGGCGTTAATTTTAGGTGAATGAGTCAATCACTTCCTTTATCTGGTAGGTTATTTTAATCACATTGGATTTGACAGTCAACAAATTCTACGGTGTTTTTTTCACCTGCCTGTTGAAAAGTAGATTTATTTTCCACCGAGAATTTTTTAATTATCGAAAGTATTTTATCTTTTATATGATTTACTTAGATTGATAATTCACCAATAAAAGTAAATGACATCATTTATGGAAATTCTGTCTTCAATTCACTCAATTCTGAAGGAGATTTTGTAAGTACCATTTTATTAACATTATTTCTTTTACTATCAGTACTGACAAAACTAATTGTTTTTCTATACAGTACGTGAATGAAAATGCCTTTAAACTTCCGCTAGTGTCTAATTTGACTACAGTGAATGGAGTAAGCGAACTCGTTGACTACCTAATTTATTATGGAAATCTCACCAACCTCGATAGACTATTGGTTAACAAAGTCTCGTCACAGATACTAAAAGGTATATGGATTTTTTCCACCTTACGCTATCACTAGTATTAGCGATATTTTCTTCTGCATAACACTGTTCTGTACTATTTTACAACTGTAAGTGAAGAAAAATTGCTTGATTGAGTATTTGATTAGTTGGTCATCTTTTAAGATTAAGGGTACGATTTTTAAAGGTTTTGAAGCATCGTTTTCTTTGTAAAGTGAATTATGTTAGCTGAATATTTCGAATTAATTATTCTGTTCTTATTACTTATCTGTTACACTAATTTTTCAGTCTCCTACAGACTTGAAAGTGTTACAAAAATATCAGGTATTTGATTAATCCTTTGATCATTGAAACAATGTTGTGGCTGGCCATTGAACTCCACATTTAGTACATTTTGGTAATAAGTTTCCTTGAATACGTTTACAAATTAATTTCACTTTGACTAAAAAGCGTGTGTTTACATTGTGTAATGTGAACATTTTGTAGTAAGTATGTACTTTATCAGCTTGGCAATATATTTTTCTCATACAAGCATATAGTAGAATGACGTGTGGTCTCACAAAAATAATCAATAAGATGTTTTGTACCAACTGTGTTTTCTATGATTTATTTTATTGCTTCAAACAGATCATTGTGAAATCCGATGGTATGCCTGTTTACCATTTGGCCAACGTAATTGATGATCATTATATGGAAATCAGTCATGTTATTAGAGGATTTGTAAGTTTATTATGTTTTTTCATTTCCCTAATTTTATTTCAATTAATGAGTGGCTTCAGCAATCAAAGGTTATTTTCACTAAACATTGAATTCAATAATATAATAGTGTGCAAAGGCCAATTTCCTCTATATCTAACTGCAATAAGTAGTATCCCGTTTACTGAGTATTTACGCAGGCTAAATCTCCTAGTAGTATTATGACTTCGCTCAAAATTATTAAAAAGCCTGAATGCCAGTTGTAGAGCTGGTTTATTGTTAATGACTAGTAAAAATACGCAAGCGTGCAGAAAGCAAGCAACACAGGGAAACCAGTGAGAGTTTGTGTGTGAGTATTAAAAATCCATATATGTTTATGAGTGTTAATCGATTGTGCATAAGTTACTGATTGTTTGTGTGTTACACCCAATGGGAGAATAGACAAAGATTGATGTGCAGACATGCGCTCAGTCAATTTTACATGTTTAAATTACAGCGAGTAGACAAATAATAAAATAGTTGAATTGGCTCACTACAAGTGATCACCTAGTATTCTAAAGCCTTTTCAAAAGTGGTCATTAGTATACACATATGGACATCATTAAGATAAAGTAAAATATGGCTAATTAACATTTCAGTGCTCCCTACTGGTTTATAAAGGGAGTAGTATAAAAGTAACACGGTATTCACTTGACCAAAATATTTTGAAGTTGATCCCTAGCAGATCCGTGGACGCCAACTGTTAGGGAGTTCTACGTTGTGACGAAACATCTGTTCAGTGGTCTCAAGTTTTCAACGTTTATACAGTCGACATCGATCCGTGTTGAGAAAACTGCTTCAGTATTCAACGGACATTGAATATGTTATGCAGGCGATTGTTTAGAAATATCTTTAGATTTTTGATGGTGGTTGCAGTAGTTCTCCAGGTTTCGGCTCCGTACCGTAGAACTGTCTCAACGTTCGAATTGAAGATTCTGACTTTGATGTTGATTGACAGTTGTTTCGAGTTCCACATGTTCTTCAATTGTGCGAATGCTATCCTTGCTTTTCCAATCCTTGCATTTACGTCTGCATCGAATCCTCCTTGTTCACTAATGATGTCGTTCAGGTACGTGAACATTTTCAACTCTTTCAGGACTTCTCCATCACGTGTGATTGGTTTGGTGTTCTCTGTGTTGTATTTGAGGACCTTGCCTTTTCATTTGTGTGTGTTGAGGCCGAATGATGCAGAGGCTTCTACTGCACTGGTTGTTTTGACTTGCATTTGATCATGTGTATGGGAGGGAAGAGCTAGGTCACCTGAGAATTCAAAATAGTCTAGTTGCATCCAAGTTGTCCATTGTACTCCGTGCTTCCATTCAGATGTGGAGGTCTTCATAATCCAGTCAACCACTAGAAGAGAGAGAAAGGGTGAGTAGGCAGACTTGTCTAACTCCGGTCCTAACTTGGAATGTGTCTGTCAGCTGTCCTCCATACGTGATATTTCAATGTAATCCGTCTTATGAATCCCATATGATGTTGACGGTCTTCTCAGGTACACCATATTGTCGAAGAAGCTTCCACAGTGTTCTCCGATGTACGCTGTCAAAAGCTTCCTCATAATCAATCAAGTTGGTGAGTTGTGACGAATTCCATCCAAACTATTGCTCAACAATGATCTGTAGTGTGGCAATTTGGTTTGTGCACGACCGATCCTTACGGAATCCGGTCTGTTGACCTCGGAGTTGGGCGTCTACTGAATCCTCCATCCAATTCAGAAACACTATTGAAAACTCTTCCTGGTACCGATGGTAGTGTGATGCCTCTGTAGTTCTCACATTTGCTCAGATCTCCTTTCTTTGGTATCTTGATGAGGTATTCTTTCTTCCAGTCAGTCAGTGGCACTTGTTCTCCCTCTTAAACCTTACTGAATAGAAGGTGGAGCATCTTTGCGGTTACTTCTAAATCTGACTTCAGTGCTTCAGTTGGTATATTGTCAGGTTCCGCTGATTTCGCACATTTGATTTGACTGGTGATCAGCTTGATTTCTTCGATTGTTGGTGCAGTAACATTTATAGGAATGTCTGTGTGTGCTGCTTCGATGTGCGTTAGATTCAGTGGAGTTAGCCTGTTTAAGAGTTTCCTTAGTGTTCTGTTCATCTGTTTCTCTGTTCTTGAATCTCAATGATTGGCTTGCCGTCTTTGTCTCTGATTGGTTTACTATATCTCCCCACCAGTTTCTTCGTTGTGTCATATAGTTGCTTTATATTTCCTTCTGTTACAGATTTTTGCACTGTCATTAATATGTCTTCCACGTACTTCTGATTTTCAGCTCTCATGCTCTTATTCACTTGCTTGTTTGCTTCAGTGTATTCACCTTGTGTCTTGACTTTCTCCGTTCTTGTTAGTCTGTTGTTAATTGCTGTCTTTTTGTTCTTCTTTTCTTAGATCTTGTCCAGGGTTTCGATAGAGATCCATTCGTTGTGATGATGATTCCTCTTGAAGTCTAGCATTTCCTAATACGTTGAAATTAGTGCTTCTTTCATCTCTTCCCAAATGTTCTCCACAATAATTTCTTTCTCTTCCATCAGATCTTGTGAATCTTCGAACTTGTTGTTGAGAGTTATCTTGAATTATTTGAGTTTATCAGTATCTCGAAGGGATGTTGTATTAAACCTTTGTAATGCTGTTTGTCAGTTGTCTTCTTTAGCTTCATTTTCGTCTTGGCAACTACCATGTGATCTGAAGCTATATCAGCTCATCTTGTCCTCACGTCTTCCTCTCATATAAAATCTGACTTATAATTTTGCAAGTTCTGCGCTGCCTGAAGCCTTCGACAGAGTTTACCATCACTTACTATTATCAACTATCCATCTTCCTAGTATTGATTCATCTGTTTCCACAGTTTTGTTGTCCGATCATGAAAGAGCCATCAAACGCTCAAGTGAATTCAGTAATCCTCTCTTACTTAAATCTATGTGGTGTAAATAGTCATTTCATATGTCAAAATTTATGGTATGCTAATTTAATGTCATTTACATCTCTACCCAAAATATCTTTAATTTTGCATATATTCTTACCCTGAAATATAGGAATGGTTTACTTCCACGCCTAAGCATTTGATGCTATACAAAGCTTTAAATTGGTCACCTCCACAGTTTGCACATCTTCCTCTGTTACTTTCCAGGTTAGTGGTAAACATTTTTTAGTTTCTTAAGACTTAGAGTAGGCAATCACTATGTATGTATTCGTCAGAATATGGTTTAGGGATTTTAGTTGTTTTAAACATAACTGTAATCATTTGTTCCGAATCGTTTCATCTACTTCGGTTCGCGCAGATGAGTTCCACCTTTAAGCTATTGCACCGGTCGTAATATACAAACCGGTAAATAACTTCTTAAGTGTAGCTCACAAAACGGTCAAAAATTAGTACATACTTGTTTGTCGAGTTAATTTGAATAATTATACAGCGAATTAACATTTCTCTTTTCTGTCATATCAATTTAGTTCAGGTGGTAAACTGTCTAAACGTAGTCCAGAATTCTCTCTTATCGGTAGTGTTCACAGTTTGCATAAGGCTGGTTATATGCCGTCTGCCGTATTGAATTGGTTGACATCCACCGGAGGTGGTGTCTGTCATGATGATTCTAACGAAAAGGGCGACTTTTCGAATAAGTGGAGGCCTGAATTTGAATTCTCTGAATTAGTTTCTCGAGTAAGTTACAATTTTATATATGGGTTTTTTCCTGGTCCTATATGCTTGATTTTAATTTTCTAAACTCCTATGATATCTTCCGCTTTTTACCCTGTTTGAAAGCTAGGGGATCGTCAATCGGATATTTTTCAAGCCTTATCTGGACATGCATTTACTTTGTCTTTTAAATTGTTGTAAATACGATCGATAATTTGTCACAAAATACTACCCTTGATTTGTGGATCACACTAGCTTTTTCGATCACCATAAATGGTGAGCAGAATTAGAAGGGAGATTTACTAAGCGTTTGTGCAGCAGTTATAGAAAGTGAAAGATTTTTTCCAGTATAGACTACTGAATGTCTTGAACTATTAAGGCAGTGTTCTAAAGAAGATAATTTTTTTAAGTAACCCATCGACAGACAGCGCGTAATTACATGTTTCAAGAGAAGACGAGTAAAATGATGGACGAAACACTCTGAAATTAAATCCAACTGAATTAGATAGAACTGGTATGGCTCAAAGCTGAGCACATATATTTATACTTGGTGAGTTACATTGCCAAATGAAACCAGAAAAGTACCCATATCTTCCATATTTTATAAGGAAGTCGAAGAAAACCAGCAAATTTTCTTGGATCATCCGCAATCACCTGATAAAATTATTGTAACAAAAGTATTGCTATTTTTGGTGCGAGTAGCACTGCTCAATTAGTTTGTCAGTGAAAACACCAAAGTCACTACAATATGGCAACATCCCATGCAAATGTATTCTAAAGTTCATCAATAAAACACTTTAAACTTCATTTCATCGAATGCAATAAATTTTAATACATATTTCTGGTTTTATATGAACTAGCTTAAAATGTACCATTTAATTATTCCATATAGTTCAACTTAAGTAATATCAATCGTCATAACGCTCATTTATCAACAGATTTGTTAAAAATATGCGGCCAATTTCATTTTGATAAAGCTGTAAACAATGCATTGGATTATTGTATAATGCATCAAAAGCAAAGTAATCAGACCACTTATAAAACTCCACAAATACTAGAAACAATTAAAGAATATCTGCAGTCAAATGTAGAAAACCTATCTATTGGTAAAAGGTAAGACGCGCAGTATTTTAATGTCGTAATTGCATTTTAGCTCAAGTGATTTCATTAAGTTTCCGTTTTATTAACCATTTGTCATTTTGGCTATATTTTCGATAGGCAAAAATAAGAGAAATGTTTAGTCACTTTGTGCTTTCACTTAGTCAGTCAGCTACAACGTAGGACCAGGCACATATGTGCATCGGTCCAGGTTGCCATACCGCATCAGCACAACAAGATGAACACCGGATTCATAGCAGTGGTTGGGTCAAAGGTGGTAACATATAAGAGAAAGATTGCATATGGAGATGTAGTACAAGAAGAAAGAATTGGTTCGTAGAAAGAAAGATATGAAGTGTTTTTAATTTCTTAGTTTAAGGGAAGACAGAGAGTGCTTTCACTTAAAACTTGGAGTACTGTCCAAATTCATATGTTCTGACAGAACCCTATTATCCAGTATATTTTTTGTACTGTTTATATTCTTAATCGAGCGTTCTTGGACCTACTATAACATTATTTCATTCTAGTGAAATTCAGAAGCCTTATAGTTATCACTTTAAGTTCTTATTAAACTTTACTAAGTTTCAATAACTTTCTTATCTTTAGCAGTTACACCATACTATTATTGTAGTCTATTAGGGCGGTTAATTGTAAAGCGAGGCGACTGCTGGATCCTAGTCTCAATAGAGTAGTAAACATACCATATAGTTATCAGAAATGTAAAGCACAAACCTAGACTCCATCACTAGCCATTATCAAAACATTTCTGCCTTATGTCCACCTAGCAACCACGACCACCTTACATTAGCTATCTCATCTACGCACGTAAGGGATGCATATAATTAAGAGTTACTGTTTCTCATACAACTTACAGTATTTACTAGTCTTCAACAAGATTTATTTTTTACTGTTTACAGTTCTAAAATATATTTGGAAATATGCTAACCAATAGAAATTACGCCTACAGATTTGGAATTCAATTAATGAGTGGAAGTAATCTAAGACAAGATGAATAAAATGAAAAACCAAGCTTAATATATTGTTAGTGACTTATAAGATAAACGTGTACATTAATCACAAATAGAAAGCAGAAATTTAATGGATTGTGAAAGGCGTTTGAATCATAGAAATACCACATGGATGTAGGGTGATATCAATGAAACTAGGGTCAGTTGTGTACAGTCATCGTGCCAGTATCTGGTAGCGATAACGCTTAATTGTACCATTCTCAATGGCTTTTAACAGATGAATACTAGACTTGAGGATACTTAGAAACCATTATAGACTTGAAAGGGTGGTGTAAAGTATGGTCTACTCACCTACTAATTTTCGCACATTTTAAATACAATTTTTTAAGCAATTTCACTCGTGAATAAGTATTGTTCCTTGCTATTGTACAGACAACTATTTTTGCCTTAATATTTACATTTGTAGTCAATCTGCTCAAAATGATTTGCGTGTGTTGAGACGATTGCAACTCTTGAAATGTCGTATTCACTGTTTAGATGACTTAGTCGACCCCGATAATGGTTTCTTATTTATGTGGAAGTCTCCAGATTTAGCTACTTGTGAAGGCGTTATCACTAAAATTTCTATCAAAATACCTTTACAAGATATACTCAGATTGTTTGGATGTTTTGTTGAAGAAATGAATCATATTCTTCAGAAAGAACAAGTGAATGATAGCACAGATTTAAACTCCGATGTGATAACAACTTCCCTTCAGAGTGTCTGCGAACGTTCAGGAGTTGAACGTAAGACTGTATTGCACCTAATCAGATTAGGCCTTATAGGATTCGAGGTAAGTGCTTAAATGATTCTTCTGTAAAAAAGCCAACTTTTTACTCTTGCGAGCAATGAAATATTGAGAGTGCACTAGTTTTTCACCCATAATACTTATAATTCGAAATTACATGCAGTTTTTTGGGTACGAACATAATATTCATCGCCTTAAAGTATAGTTATTATCTTTTGTGTAACTGTATGTATACACTATTAGGAATTTTCGCCTACTTATTTACCGATGAGTCAGTAATCTAAAATTTGATTGAAATATAGTGGTAGCCAGCAGCTAGAAACGGTAATCAAAATGATGGAATTCATTAGATGATTAAACGGTCAGGTAGTTTCAAGCTGGTGTTTAAAATAACTTTTTACGACCTACTGTGAATTATGTAGCATATATCAACTTATTGTTTTGTCCTAAGAGAAGTTTCATAATATCACGCGACCCACCGATTGTTGGCACTATCAATTTATTATCATTGCGAGATGTTTGACACTAGCAATAAGAAATTAATATGTCAACGAACGACACGCAGTTGAGTTTAGTGCGTCAATAACGATGTTAGCCTTGGATCATCCCAACGTATAAAATTTCTAATAATTGCCAGTACTTCATAATATAAATTATTACCTTTGAATATTCAGGTGGGGCCTCCTGTGGTCGAACTTATTCAATTGTTGTCTATACCAGAAGTGACTAATCGGATAAACAATCTAAATAATTTTCTAATACGGAACTGTTCTCAATCTCATGAAGCTTTGTAAACGTTCATAGCTGGTCTTACTATTTTTTTCTGATTTGTATATTTAATTGATTCCTACTTTAAGATCAATATAGTACTTCTTGAATCTAACTGCCTTCTATTATTGAACACTTTCATTAGATAATAACTCAGAAGTATCTTTCGTTAGGGTTAACCAAACATCTGTATAATTTACTATTAATTTCTAATGCAGTGTTGGGTTTCTTCGCCCCTGTAATATCCTTGTAAGGAGTGTTGACTATTAGAAGTGCTTCGAAAAATGGACAAATATTTAGCTAATATATCAAAGTCACAATATTACGAAAAAAGGAATTTAAAATATCTAATAAGTTAAGATTAAAATAAGCTTGAATACTCTCAATTTAGTCTTGTGGTGAACTGTGTGCGTTGTCGAGATGTTAAACATGCCTATTATTCAAGTGTTTGATTTGCAATGTGTTATAGACTTAAATCCTACCCTGACTACCTGTCGGTTGGTATTGTTAGATCTGGGCGTTACAGTCAAATCTGGCTACGTTTGTTGAGTTAAATTATATTAACTACTGAATTCTTGAGGTCAAACACGCTGAAAAATTTATGGGTCAATTGGATTGTAAAATATGTTTACTTTCTCGAGCCATGCTGAATGGTAGATTAAGAAATGTCCACTGATGATCTAAGAAGCACCAGATTAAAGATGCTGTATTCTCATAAATCTAAAGATCGCAACTGTCAATTTCATTCAAGAACATGGATTGTTCTTAATAGGTGACCTAAACAGCAGTAAGGTAATTAATTTCTAAGCTTTTTAGGTTGTCTAATTTAATATCTGCTGTGCAACCGCGCATCTTAGTTAGGAAAGCTGTACGAATCCCAGATAAAATCCTGAAATTTATTCATCAAAGACTTCGTCTTACAAACAATAACAAACACGATCTACCTATTTAATAGACTTAATTCTCATGTTTTAGACAAAATAACGAAAAATACCAAATCTGTCGTCACTCTACAAGTAAACGTAAATAAAACTAGATCCAGTTTTACCTGGTTGACCATGTTAATGAAACGTTTATTTTGTGGAATCGTATAAATTTGCTCAATGTCAAGGACGAAATTACCATGGGAAGCCGTATATATTTTGTTTCAATTACCTGGTAGCATCATTCTACTAGCTTAGCATCCAACAATCCTCATATTGAGCATAATTCTAAGAAAACTTTATATAAATACTCAATTGATCTGTATTTATTGAATTAAACTATAATATGATTACAAAAACTAACAGTCCAGTGCAAATTCAGTGGATACATAGTCGATTGCAAGTTATCCGCTCTTTTGTATTAAAATCCTCAGTTAATTAAGATTAATATTGATAGTTCGATTCGTTGGAGTGAATTTTCTGTGGAAACACACACAAAGAATGAGAAACATAAAATCATACCTTATGCTGACACCAGCTTTATTAAATAAATATTTAGCTGCTTGATTAGATTCCGTTCCATTCTTCTTATCCGAATAATACACTACTTCTTTAATTCCAGCCTGTATAATAACTTTAGCACATTCATTACATGGGAACATTGTTGTGAATAGTGTGCAACCTCCAGAATGAGCTTCATTACGATTCAGTACGGCGTTCAACTCTGCATGACAAACTACAAGTCTCTGTAATAAAAAAACGTTAACAGACACTAGACAGCATACCATAGAGATACTTATTTTCAAGTTCATTTGTTGATCCTTTTCCCCAAGGGACATCATCATCTAAAATACCGTTGGGCATTCCATTATATCCTATTCCAACAATTTTCTTTTCTTGGTTAACTATGCAAGCGCCAACCTAAGTTTGAAAAAAGAACACAAGGGATATGGAGATTACAAATTAGAAAAATAAGAAATAATAACTTAGTAACTATTAAAATACTTGAGTGAAATAAATTTAAAATCGTGTCGACTGTGTACGAAAGCTGACGATAATAACTGACTTTGTCGAAAACAATCAGTTTTTACGTTGCTATATCCAAATTTTCACGAACATAGGTTAATTTTACGTTCGGATTCTAGTGATGTTAACCTACAAGATTGGTAGACATACTAAAAGAGGGAGCAATCAAAGACTGAAGCAACACAGTGAAAAACATATTTCCAGGATAGTATTATTTTATGAAAAGTAATCCTCTGGGAATGTGGATAACAAACAAGATTTTGAGGGACTCTCGGGATTTATCTGTCTGTCTAGTAAGTCAGTGGTATAAATACCTATTGGGTTATTAGTCGGCTTTTTATAACAAAACATGAAACTCATACCTAAGGGGATTTGCAATCTTTACAAGTAAACCAGTTAATTGTGAGAAAACGGCAACAAAGTCGAGGTGGATTTATGGCAACAAACGCTTTATTAGCACATTAGGCGAAGGTTATGTTTTCAATAAATGGTCTTTTATTCTTTACTTCAGTTGATATAGACTGTCATTATTATTCGATTGTAGGCACCTCTCACTTATTATTCATACATGGTAAGACTGCTTAGTGACTAATGTTGAAATTATGCTGGGGGTACTAATTTGAGATAATTAATCAACTGGAGAGGTTGTAAACCGTCGTCAACTAAGTAGGTCGGAACATATTACCCATACCAAGCTACCACACAATAACTGTGGTCCGTAGTTAGAGATTAAGATATCACTTAACAACCGTCCAGAAAGAACTGGCACATCTATTCCATATCTCTCAAGAGATCCTGAACAGTCTTATTTATGCAATTCAGTATCCGATTTCATTTGTTCTTTCGGAACTACGCTTGGTTGTCCGTCACAACTGGTTATACTTTGAATATTCTGCCTTTCATCTGATTGGTTTTTTAAAGCTTTGCTAAGGTGGAATACAGCAACTTGGGCTGAGGAAAATGTTGTTTGTGATTGACCATAGCCAAAAATTATTCGGTTTCTATTAGTATCCTTGAAAATTGAAACTACATATCTATTTGCAATATGAGAATGTTTACATGCAAAGCAACAGAGAATTACATAGTATATAAAAAACACTTACTTGAGTCGAAGGGTCTTTACTGCGCATAGCGGACAATAGTGCTATAGACATGAAATATTCATCCCATGATATATAATTGCTACGTTTTTGGTTCCCATTTAAACTGAGGTTTTTTAATTCTGGAGACAATCAAAACAAATATGTAGAAAACAATGCGTAAAAGTGACTACAAAGGTTAAAAAAGAATGTATTTACCATTAGTTGATGTAAAGATTAAAACATTCCCAAACCGATACGTCGTGGAGGGGAAATCTCAGCTCCTGAAGGTTGCACCTGGCATATTTACTGAATTACATCTAGGTAAGAAAGTGAAATCTTGGTAGTCACGCTAAGCTATTCCACAAATAAAGGTTTGGGTTTATCAAAACTAAAAGCCTTTTAACTCTTGAAATTAGAAAGTTGGGGGGAATAAGCGAGATGAAAATACTGACATTGATTTTAGAAGTTTTATTGCGTTCGAAAAGTTAACAGAATCCAGTCTTGCCGATATCCCTAGTAAATTTCGGAAGTATACATCTAGGATTAGCTAAGAACAAGCTCATGTTAGGCAACTTACAATACAACCTGATGGTAAACACTCATATCAATAAAGGGAATGAAGCACTATCAAGTCCAACAACCATTGTATAAAACGCATCTAAAAGCGACAGCGATCGTCGTCTTACTCTTCGAAGTATGGGATTGTAAAGCGGCAAAAGTAAAACGTATCTTTTTCTTTGCGGATTTTGAACCGTGAAAGTTAAAATAACAGACAACCAGTGGATTGAAAATATATGCCTTTGTAGATAGGGGTACTGGAACAAAACACTAAATGTCAATAATAACTATTAATTTGGAAATCAACCAATCCGATAACTGAATCAGGAATAAGAAGTCTCGAGGATCCAGACGAGTCATGGCTTCGATAAGTATCGCTTAACGTTGCTAAAATAAGAGATATTCTTTACGTTTGAGACAATATATTAGGACCAGTGTTTAAACTTAATAGAAATTATTTTGGATATTGACATGATTAGTATAGCTCTCCATTCACAACAAGAGCTCTGAATGGAAGTGTCTTAGTAGTTGATTATTGAACCCGTGAGTCCTCAAAGAGTGTGCAGTTTCAATTTATAAACATAAAGACCAGCATGTATAACAAATCGTAAGGGTTAAATGATGTGTATAACTTTACAAGCAACATTTTTAAGTTTGTTCTCTTGCGAATACGAAAACACATACACGAACCTTAGACATCATGATAAGATTGCTTGCTACCTTAAAGTATAAAAAATTCTGTGGGGGAGGGTTCGTATAACTAACGTCGTCGATGACTACAAAATATTCATCGGAAACAATCCTCGGGCTAGAACCCAGATACTGAATTGGTGAAATTAATATCTTAAATACTTTGTAAGGTTAAATTATTTAATCATGTCAACATAATACCAAATTAAAAGTACTTTCACGTACCGTTATCAACCATGTTCTTCAAAATACAATTATACAGTCCATATACGGTATAAGTATTTCAGATATTCACGGACCGTTATGCCAGGACTAATGAACTTTCATTTATCTGCATGAGAAGAACATGAAGATTTAAATTGGAGATACAAAACTGGACTGATAAAAGCAATCAATAGGTCAGCACCATATATGGACATAATGAAGACCAGGTACGGCAGGAACTATTGAAACCATTTCTACTCCCTGGTAATCCTAAGAGATCAGAAAGTTGACATAGTTGTGTGCAGGGATAAGGTACAATATATCTACTTGGTAAAATTGAGTTTGTATCAGTCTATAGTGATTTGCCTATCAAGAATTTACGAGAATGGATGGACGAAATATTCCAAGTCAAACGCACAATTGTAGGATATGATAGCGAAAACATGATGTGCAACACGATTTTGAAAAAATGTAAACTCGTATTAAAACATGAAAGTCCTCTTGAGGTGATTCACAAGCTTATCATTAGTTTACGCAGAATATTAATGACAAATGTATTCGAAGTTTGACGATGCCTTTACCAGTAACATCTTCATACGTACCCAGTCAAATCAGAAGTCAGAGATATATAGAAGGCTATCTATACGTAGAGAAGCATATGGTCTGAGCTGTGCAGTAGTTGCATACCCATAACGCCGTAGAAATGCATTTTAAACATCCTGGCATTGTTGCTCAGTGCTACCAAAATACTCTGCATTTTATCAGTGTCTTCACCAAACAGGACAATGTTATCTGCGTATTTTAAGTCAATCAGTGAACGTTCTGGTAGGAGATCAATGCTCAAAAATTCAGTCAATGAGAACGTTGTTTCCAGCTATAGGTCTATGATGAAGTTGAACGAAAATGGAGATAGTGGACAGCCTTGTCGGACACCACTTGAGGTTGCAAGAATAGATGATAGTTCGCCATAAGCTGACTCGACTGGTAGTGTTTGAGTAAAGGGCTTTCACAAGGTTTACGTACTTCTGAGATGAGCCTTTCAGTGACAGGCACTGCCACAGAACCTCTTAGACTACAGAGTCAAATGCTGCCTTTAAGTTAAGAAAAGCTATCATTGTCGGACGCCAATAAGCACGCCTGTGTCCTAAGATTTGGCGAATGGTGAGTATGTGGTTGTCACAAGATGATTTTGAACCATTTTTATGTATTGGGACGATCAGTGATTGCGACCAGTTAGGCGGGATTATGTCTAACTCTCAGATTTTAACCAAAATATTAGTCAACCTACTCGCTAAAACGTGACTGCATCGTTCAGTTCAACCTTAAGGGGTATTCTTAATGGGATTTTCCTGCGTTCAACGAGGCGCAAACGAATGTATGCTAGCATTGGAGCACGACGAGTCTAAACATGTACTCCAGAACAAGAGGCAGTCTTCGATCGGGCCTCTCCAACGGTGACTGATGGCAATGTCGTCTATTTGAGTCCATCGTTGATTTGGTTCAGGGGGTCGCCATGTTAGACGATGTCTCTCCTTATGCTTAAAATTAGTGCTTGTTAAAAATAAACGAGTGTATGAGCACATAACACGTTATGTGGTACAATGTACACTGTTACGTAACAGTGAAAATTTATAATAGTTAGAAGTATTCAAATTATTGTGGTAACCAAGATCTCTAGAAATAGTGCGATTTGAAGCAGGTAAAATTAGATAACCACAAACGTACTGGGCACGGGAAAATGTCAGACTTCTTCAAAGCTACCCGCCGTTTTGTTTCAACGACCTTGAACGGCCTGACAAGAGGTGGTCATTCCGTATTTCAATTGTCGTGGGTTTGTTGGGTTGCGTGAGTAATCATCGCACCTTCAATAACAAATGAATAACTAGTTCGTACGAATACCACAAAATTTCAATCCATAGTATTGTTAGTCGGTCTTTTTATCCTTTTCAATCATCTCAGGAAAGCATTGGAAAGGAAGAGTAATCATGTTTTCAAATACACTCATATGTGCGTAAGGTCGTAAAATGTGCGAAAAAAGAAAAATACCTGGACTACATGCATGTACATTGAATTCGATAGCACCAAAATATTTCACAACGATTTTTTTAAGTTTTCAAGAAATAAAATATACACAGAATCATGAAAATACTAAAGATGAAAAATGCCTTTTTAACGCAGCGATACAAACAAATAAGATAAAACAAAATTTATGTGTTGTTATACGCATATTAGCCGTTTAGGTGTTCTGGAAATATTACCCTTGTTCCACAGTGTGCTGCATTGGGCTAGTTTTTTGGTACTAGCGAAGTATGTTCACGATTATTGATTATCGCCGAAGGCATTGCAATTGTGCTGTCAATGGTCAGTGGCGATAGTTGAATAGTAGCTGAATTTCGCTACCCACCGCTCGATGAAGCGCGAGTCACTGTTTTAGTAGTAACGTCGTTAATCAGTTTTGCTCCTGGCCATCGTGTGAAACGGCCAACACATGTTGGGGTAAGACTATTGGTTTGAATCTAGTAAAGGTCCTACCAAATCGGGATGGACATGGTCGAAACGAGCATCGAGAGTTTTGAAGGGGCCTAAGATACATTCTTGAGTCTAATGAACTTGGATTTCAGGCAGCGTACCAACTAATTCACATCTTTATTTACATTAGACCATCAAAATCTTTCTGTTATCAGCATACAGTTGTTACAACGCCTGTGTGAGACTAATAATACTACGTATTGAAGACACTGTTTCGATAATTTTCCACAAGAATGGACGATCTTAGCCTGTATATGTGTTGCATAGTAAAGTATTCTTACTTGTCCTCTTCTGTTTAATACGAAGTTTCAGAGTTGTCTATGATAACTCCTGCTGAAAATCAATATACTCTTCTTGAAGTTGGGTGAGTTTAAGAAAATTTATTTCTTAGAAACTGTTCAAAGAAGTTACACGCGACTGTAGCGGTAAATAAATCACTAAGTTTTCGACATTGGATGCTGACCATATTTTTTAGTGGACTCATCTAGCTGAAGGCGCTCGGTCAGGCATCCGCACCAGATCACGTGTGGTAACGCCGTGCTCAACATCAACCGCAATCGCTAGCCAGATTAGATCAGAGAATTCCGATATATTGGTCATCGCCAAATATACTCTTCCGATGTCCTCGACTCTGTCTTTTGATTTCTCTGAGTGGGAACGAAATATATTAGAAGGTGTTACTGGTAGAAGCGTTGTCAAACACTGAATACCTGTGACATCTTCATTGCTGAGACCGTCGTGATCTGGTACACCTAATTGCAACTGTGAGTCTGTTCCTTTTTGGGATTTTTATATATCATTGCCTTATTTTTTATTTTATTTTAAAAATTGTGATTTTTTTGTGTTTTTTCTTGGATATATATATTTTCCCCTCGTTCATTATCGTACTTCATACTTCATCATGACTGAACAGACACTTAAAGTACTCAAGCTTAAGACCTTGTCTCCACCTTCGTTTCAACTGATGCCTTCCTGGCCCGACAACATCGAAGCCTGGTTCTGCTACGCAGAAGCCGACTTCTCCGAGCACGGCGTGATCGACACACGTGCACAATTCCTCGCAGTAGTCAAGGCACTACCGCGCGAATTCAACGGGTACGTAACACCTAGTATGTTTACTAGTGATGTTTCCGATCCTTATGAAATCTTAAAACGCTCGATTCTTAAACGAAGAGACCTAACCGATCGACAAAGGTTAAATCGACTCTTCAACAATATCGTTCCTGCAACATGGTTCTGCGACGGACATGTTGCAACGGATGAGAGAGATTATAGGCTCAAGAACTTTCGACGAAGGCCTACTCAAACAACTCTTCTTGTCAAAACTTCCCCAACATGTGCAAGCAGTTCTGGTCTCGTTCCAGAACAACGCCCTAGACGAGCTAGCTGCATCTGCCGACCGCATTCTAGAAATTACGAAACCTACTACCGAGGTATTTTCAGTCAAAGAAAAGCCTCACACGACTCAAAATGATATAACCGACTTATGTCACACACTCACGCGTTATCTTAATCTTCGTGCCGACCGTAAGAGATCGCGCACACCACGTAGAAGCATTTCTCGTAAGCGATCTGTCTCTAGACTACGAGAGACAGATAACCCCGACTGGTGCTGGTATCATAACCAGTATGAAAAGTCTTCCAGAAATTGCAGAAAACCCTGCAATTTTCCCAACACGAAACCGAGTGACTCGAGAAACAACTCGGGAAACTTCCAAGCCGGCACGCGTTAACGGCAACCGTAGCCGGCGAACATAGCCGTCTGTTATACGTCACAGATGTGACAACGAGAGTTCGCTACCTCGTCGACACTGGCGCAGAAGTTAGCGTTCTCCCAGCAAATTCTAACGACCGACTACACGAATCGACCCAAAACATACAGGCGGCAAACGGAAAACCGATCGCTACGTATGGCAAAAGGTACGTTTACCTTAACGTGGGTTTACCCAAACCCATTCACTGGATCTTCGTTGTTGCAGATGTTTCTATGTCAATCATTGGTATTGACCTTCTACAACACCACAATCTGATCATCGACACTCGTAAACGGAGGCTAGTAGACGGGAACACCAATTTGTCCGTTTGCGTAACTTCCTTTTCTGGTTGCAAATTATCCCCAGTCACAATTGAGCATATGATAGACCCACTCTATCACCCACTTCTCGATAAGTATCCTGGGATACAACAAACGCAAGCGAGATTACTGTGTGTAACCAGCAACGTTACACATCACATCACGACTACAGGACCACCTGTATTCACTAAAGCACGACGACTAGCTCCCGAAAAGCTAAGGTTAGTGAAAAACGAATTCGATCACATGATAGACTTAGGAGTCATACGACCGTCAAGTAGCCCATATGCATCTCCGTTGCACATGGTCTCTAAAAAGAACAACAACGATTGGCGTCCAACTGGTGACTATCGGCGATTGAAGGCGGAAACCATTCCCGATCGTTACCCGTTGCCTCACATTCACAATTTGACAGCTACCTTGAAAGGTACAACTGTCTTTTCGAAAATCGACTTAGTTAAAGCGTATAACCAAATCCCTATGGCTACTGACGACATACCGAAAACAGCCATCATAACTCACTTCGGACTCTATGAATTCTTGCGAATGCCTTTCGGTCTAAGAAATGCTGCTCAAACATTCCAAAGATTCATAGACGACGTTTTTCGAGGTCTCAACTTCGTACACGCGTATGTTGACGACTGTCTAATCGCAAGTCCGGACAGAGAAACACATCTCAAGCATCTGGATCTTGTTTTCGAACGACTACAAAAACATGGCATTACTGTAAACGTTCAGAAATGCCAATTCGGAACCAACTCATTAGACTTTCTAGGACACACTATCGATGCTCAAGGTATCCGACCCCTTAGAACCAAAGTGGCGGCCATTCTTGATTACCCAGAACCGACCACCGTCAAGCAATTACGTACGTTTAACGGCCTGGTAAGTTTCTATAAACGTTTCATACCGAAATGCGCATTACTTATGAAACCTCTGACCGACCAACTTCGTGGAAATGCGAAACCCATTAATTTGGACGACACCGCACGAAAAGCATTCTCCACAGTTAAGGAACTAATTGCTAAAGCGACAATGCTCGCACATCAGGACACCGAAGCACCCATTAGTATCGCAGTAGACGCATCGGACTCGGCAATCGGTGGCGTCTTACAACAATGGGTTAACAAGTCATGGCAACCCTTAGCATTTTTCTCTAGACGGTTGTAAGACACTGAATCGAGGTACAGCACATTCGGTAGGGAGCTCCTAGCTATGTATTGTGCTGTACGGCATTTCCAACACTACATCGAAGGTCGTGAATTCACTCTTTTCACGGACCATAAACCGCTCACTTTCTCGTTAAGCTCTCCTTCTGACAAGTACTCTCCCTGTGAGTCTCGACAACTAGACTACATTTCGCAGTTTACTTCAGATATTCAACACGTCTCTGGAGCAAACAATGTAGTTGCAGACGCCTTATCTCGCATAACTTCCTTGAACAGTTTCCAAGGAATCGACCTTCTTAAACTCGCCGAGCTTCAAAAAGAAGACAGTGATCTTCAGCACGAGTTATCGTCCACAACCCTTAAACTACGCATCAAACAGATGGGAACAGGTAACGAAACCTTACTTTGTGACACATTTACAGGTAGGGATCGCCCAATCGTGCCGAAACATTATCGACGCAATGTCTTCAATGCATTGCACAAACTTTCTTATCCAGGTGTTTGTGCAACCATCAAGCTTATAGCAGAACGGTTTTGCTGGCCTGGCATGAATAAAGACGTGAGGGAGTGGGCACGCTCCTGTGTAAGCTGCCAAAAATCTAAGGTCATCAGACACAATAAATGCCCCTTAGGCTCGTTTAAAACTCCCGATGCTCGTTTCGACTGTGTTCATCTGGATTTGGTAGGACCTTTACCAGATTCAAATGGATACTCTTATCTTTTAATCTGCGTAGACCGTTTCACTCGATGTCCAGAAGCAGTACCTATCAAGGACATCACTGCTGAAACAGTGGCCCGCACCTCCGTCGAACGATGGGTAGCAAACTTCGGCTGCCCTTCAACCATCACTACAGACCGCGGACTCCATTTTGAATCTGATCTTTTCCGTCGTCTGACCACACTTTTAGGAATCACTCGATTCCGAACGACCGCCTACCATCCACAAGGAAACGGGTTGGTAGAACGTTTTCACCGA